TTTAGTTTTTATTTTTTTGAAAATCCTTAGTTTCAGTTTAGTTTTGATTAGTTTCAGTTATAGTTTTAGTTGTGTTTGCAATAATTAAGTGTAACAAAATCCCAGTTTCATCATATCAGTCATTCTGCTCATCCTTGGGTATGTTGCTATTCCAGCTACCATACTGCACCCTGGACAGGTCGCCTGTCTGTCGCAGGGCTAACACGCAGAGACAGACAACTCACATTCCCACCTATGGGTTCTTTAAATAAATAAATAAAGGCAGATGAACAACCATTGATACCAGGCAACTATAAAATTTATATCTGGCCCCAATGAGACTATTAACTCTCGCAGCACCGGGTGTTCGTAATTTTGGTTCAAGTGAATTGATAAACTTTTTGAAGGCAATTGACTCACACAGTTGTGTAGATATACCCGTCCTGTTGTCTCGGGATGCATCACGCTGCCTTGCCTGGGGTTAGCTTCTGTTTTAGGTAAGCTAGGTTAGCCTTCTTGTGTGAGCTTTTCAAATGCACTTTAAGGTTTGTGGGATTTTTTTCCCTTTAGAAATGTCCCTCATAATTTGTCTGTTTCCACTACAAGACACTTGCTTTATCCAAAACACAGTCATATTCAAAGTAATCCCAAATTGGACTCTGGCTCCCGACTTTTCCTGACATGATTCTGCGCGTGGATGGAGCAGCAACACAGACGACTCGACTAACGTGCTGCCACCTGCTGGCATAATGAGACACAGCAAGAAAAAAATCTGGAAACTTCATTTTCACCCTTGACTCTTGTATGACACGCACACATCAATGAAAACTAAACACATTTTTGCTATAAATTCAGTTAATTTTAGTTAGTTTTGTGAACACTCATTATAGTTTTAGTTAGTTTTCCTTTTTTTGTTTTTATTTTTATTTACGTTAACGAAAATGTTTTTTCACTTCTAGTTTTCGTTATTTCGTTAGTTTTCGTTAACGATAATAACCTTGGAAATCGCAACTGATTGGTTACTAATAGGATGCTAAAATGCTAACTATACTGTCGATGTATCATTAACTACAATATAGATGCACTGCACCGATGGCACTCCTACACCATAATAAATTACGTTCAAGTTGATAAAAAAATTTCTTTGAAAATGCAAAGAAGAAATACTGCAAAGAGTCCACACCATTACACCACCACTACCACTACCAGCCTGAATCGTACATGTCAGGATGGACCTATGCTTTTATGTTGTTTACCATCCAAATGTCACAGCAGAAATCAAGATTCATCATCATTCATTGTTGTCCAGTTTTGGTGGGCTTGTGCAAACTGTAGTCTTCATATTTCTGTTCTTAGAGGAGTCCGGTCATCTGCTGCTGTAGCCAATCAGCTTCAGGGTTCAACATGATGTGCATTCAGAGATGCTCTTCTGCATACTTGTTATTGCCTTAGCATCTCAGTGCAATCAGTCACAACGAAAGCAACTGATTAGACAGCAGCAGTTGAACGGTTGTACCTAACAAAGTGGAAGTATACAAAACACTTTTCATGTCCATGTATGTATAGCATATTGGACATGGTAATTGGCTTCCAGTTAAAAGCTGATCAGATAAGAAGGCAGGAAGTGCTGATGGTAGCTGTCATCTTTCTCTTTCAAAGACTATAATCAGAATCCCACAACTTTATTCACTATTTTTTTTTCGGTACTGTTTTAACACCTTCTATTTCATTTGCTGGTTATTTATTTGCTGTTCACTAGGGAGGTTTAGGCACCTTGTTAGGCTGGCTACATTTGTACAAAAAGATTTGATTTGGGTTCAAATATAGCTTGTTTCAGAGCTTCTTTTTCTAGCATCCTCAGTGATGAGTCCCATCAGTGGGGTTTTGAAAGAATATGCTGTCCTGTAATCAAATGTGTACTGCCACTTGGATTAAATCATTTTAAAGTTATCCCGACTGTCACAGAAAGAAAAAGGACCGTTTGTGTCTGTGTATGAAAACAAATCAAACATAATCACAGTTTCTATGGGCCTACGGGAGGAGCAGGAAGAACAGTCTAAAGTTAGTGTTTCCAAATGGGAAATGAGTCATTAGATGTTACAAATGTAATAAAATTATACAAATTATGTTTGCTGTGTAACAGAAGGCACGCAGCAAATTATTCTGTTTCTATGTGTTCACAGCTTTCCATGTGGATTTGTTGTTGTTGTTGTTGTCGTTTATTTGAGTTGGTTTGTTTTTTTGCAGCCACAACTCTGGAGCATTTTTTTCCACACCGTTTGTGGTTCATCTCTAAGGTCTACTCTTACAGCAATGCTGCAATTACAGAAAAAAATCAAACCATTATTATCCTCTTGCAGTATCATTAGGTCAGTTTAATCAAATATTGAAAACCAATGTGCATTAAGAGCTCAGGTAACTCTTAAATTCAACCATCTACGAGGCTAAATGCATTGAATTAGCAGCATGAGACCAGCTGGTTATGATATTTGTAAAAGGAGCAATTGAATAGGTGTCACTAACAAAATGTTGGGCAATTCCTGATAAAACAATGTCACTACTCTGTATTTACTGTAGGACATAAATAAACACACATTCCTGTAATGCTTCTCTGTTTATTTAGGAGTTGAAACTGTTTTGTTTCCAACAGACTTCCAGTGTCATCAAATAATGGTGCTTACACCTACGACACCTAAAATTGCATGTTTGAGTTCCAAGACTGAAGCAATAATGGGTAATAACACAAAGCAAAAAGCTTTTGAAGTGGTTTCATTTTTAGACCATAAAAAATGGAAAAAAAGTCAAGTCTAGTCAACCGAACTTAGACAAGTAAGCGATTTGTGAGTGTTGTTCTGTAGAAACAGAACTGAATGTCATGTTGCACAACTTAAGGTTATTTCTGTCCTCTCATAGACCTGAAATTAACTATTTTTATTAATGTTATTAACCACAGTCTTTCCCAAACAGTTTTGTAATGACAAATTCCAAACTGCCACTGAATGAGTTTGCAGAATACACTGGTTGGGATGGTGTTTAGTTCTTTCTTTGTGTTTATTTCAAGTAAGAACGCCACTAATGGTCATTTTAACCCTTTAAGACCTACCATAGAACCAAGTCCGCCAGAGCTTATATTATATTTTTACATGCTGTAGAGCCGTTTTTGGGAGCATTTCAAGTTGCTATACATCAATACAACCATTATAGCCTAAATTTTAATAGTATGCATGCATTAAGTGCATAGTAATTACATAAATTGCAAAAAAGTGCAATAAACTACAAAAAAATTTAAAATCGTTTTTGTTTTTTTACATATATTTCTAGTTAGATAAATTTAAGAGGCTTATCCCTCAAAACTGTAAATACAAAAAAGTTGCACAAAATAGTTTCCCACCACAGGAAATTTATTTTGAGTGTCTTCATAGTTTTATATTTGAAATACACCAATTTTTATATACTGCAGGAAAAACGAAAATAAATATTATAATGCAAATTTGCAAAAAAGCAGCATGTGCATCAAAATAAACTATTTCCAGCAGTGCAATATGAGTCCTAAGCATCCCAGAAACGACACAGAAAGTCATAAAGTCAAACATAACTTTTAAAAACACCAGTATAGGCTCATGAGGCCTTGATGGTAAAAAAAACTACATTTCCGCGAAAATGACGTCACTTCCGGTTTTGGGCAGGTCTCCAACATAGACACTGTTATGAACAGCTGATTGGATCGGCAAAGCGTGTTTCTGGAATATTATGTTTTTGTTGCTGCAAGCGCTTTTTATGCAGTTTTTGCAAAGCTATATGTGGAAGGAAACTGTGACCGAGGACAAGCTGATGGCATAAGATGTAAGTACAACTCCTCTGGTTTCATATGCAAAAAAAATTATTGCGCTAGCTTACGTGGTTGCAGAGCTACCGGGATTTAAAAATAGTTACGCAAAACAGAGCGTGCTGCTCTGACCGGTTTTAAAGGGTTAAAGATAAAAGGTGGGTATTGTATATGCACTTAAGCTGGAAACAAACCATGAATTACAGACAGAAAACTAAAAACCAATGTGAACTATTGACTCAAATTAAGTATTGTGAACTTTTCCACCACAGCACTAACCAGAAAGCCAAAGAACCTGCAGGAGCAATCGCACACAGTCGCAGTGACACTTTCAAAAACAAATGCTATGGTGAGCCAAACGGCTGCGAGAAATAAATGGGTACATACACGATTATTAAGCACGCCAAGAGCTGTATAAAGTTCTAGGTTGTCCATATTTGAGTAGCTTCAGTTATTCAATAATGTGGCATTTTTAAAGATGCTTCGTTTGTTATGTCACTAGCTGGAAAGTTTATTTATGAGCAAAGTTTTCAGTGAAGTAAGAGATTTTAAAATGAACAATATTTGCATTTTTATAGACTGTGACGATTTCTCGGATGGAGGAACAGAAGTAATGCAACGCAGTATGTCTTAAAACATGCCTCGAACCGACCTATGCCTTTGCTTCCTCCCCACTTTCTTTCTGTATGTGCACAAGTGCAAATTATTTTCATTTTACAGTCCTGATTCTTTTGTTATGCTGCTATTCAGTCAGCTCAGCTCTTGTTTGCTAAACCTGTTTTTTGTTTCAGACCCATGACGGGAAAAAAGCAGAGAGAAGGTACTTGAACTCTGTTTGATCCTTCAGACAATAATACAGAAAAAAATACAAATTGCACCAACATAGTGTACCTACCTACACACATACATTTATCGCCTACAAACTCTGTGTCCTCCAACTAGGAATGATTTGAGTGAAACATCACAGTATTTTTCATCCCAGTGTAGTGTGTAATTTATTTAACAGAGGGTTTGTGTTTCAGCTTGAAATCTTTTGTGGTTCTTCACCTTTGAAATGAAAAAGGCAGGGAGGAGAGACATCTGCCTGGCTTTTAATGGGTATCACAAATGTTTTAGTAATTCCACTCCATCTGAAACTTCCCTCCCCTTCAGCACCCTCCCAAATTATAGCAAAGGAATGAAGCTGAGACTCTTTGCCTTACAGAGCTTTAGTGTTTTCCCCAGCTAAGAGGATCGGAAAGATTCATCCTGTGGCTTTGCATCATGGAGGGTAGCAGTCAGTCCAGCAGTCAACAGCTTCTGTGGAAGGATGTGAGTCAGATTTGCTCGTTATTGGTTTATAGCAATTAACTGATTAGAGTTTTTTTTTTAACCCATGTAGAATTTGAGTTCTCTAAAGTCCAAAGAAAAGTTTTATTAGTGACTTCAAAAAAAATATATAATCATTCAGTATTTCGGATTTAAGATTTACCTTTTTTCTTTCTTTTATTCAAGAAGTGTGGCTTGATCTCTTGCTGAGTGATGAGAGTTTTGCCCTGAATATTAAATTTTTCATCTAAATCTTTTTGGATTGGCTTTTCACCTTGGCTTTCTTCTTTTATTTCCACTCTCACGTGTAGTCTCATCTGGACCATTTTATTTGCTTTATATCTATAATATCTGTGCCTCTCAAATGAAAGGAGCATACAAATATACACCAAGAAATGTTTTTATTTCAGACTTTATTATAAAGGACCAAGACAGGCAGGATTTTCAGCTCTGAGATCTTATTTTTTTTTGCTACTTTTTTCTCACACACTTAATTTGTTGGCGAGAACTTGCAACAAAAAATGAGCACAGGGGTAAATACATTCATAGCGGTGTAATATTATATTTTTTTCTATATGTATGACAAAAGTAAACTCTTTTACCGTGCATCAAAGAAATGATGACATTTTGTTCTGCAGATATTCATGATGAATAAACGGTACGTGAATAGTTATGATTAAAAGAAATCACCTGTGGCGTCTGACTTGTGTTACAGAATTGCTTTAGCAGGAATTAAAATGCTCATATGAGTGTGGCCCAGTGTGATAAACCCCTGCCTCTGCTTGCTGCTTACGTGGGCTACCTTTTTTGTTGTTGTTGTGGGGTTTTTTTCTCATGAAAGTGCTCACTCTTTGCATGATAACAGCAGGGGGCTCCAGGCACTCTTCCTCACAAAGCTCAAGAGGAATTGCCTGGCTGATTCTGAACTCCTAAACCTTTAAACACTAGTTGGCGGGTGCTGTGCGCTCAGACTGCTTACTCTGTCTCCATCCGTGCCTTTATTTCTGTCTGTCTGTCTGTCTTTCAATCCTACATTCTTCCTCTGAGTATTCGATATTCAAAGCACAGGCAGAGAGGTTTGTCCTCTTGTTAAGTTTCCACTGCTTATGCAACCTGCCACAGGAGAGCCGACGATTTCAGCCACCGGTTTTTGTTTTTTTCTTTCTGAGAAATTTATATTGCAAGGAATTTCTGGCTCCCTGAGAGTAGCCCTCTGCTTTTCATCATGCCCTAGGAATGTACAACACTTGCACCTCACATTTTTGTGGCTACTGTTCCTAATATGTCAAATGAAAAACAGTGGCTATTCAATAATAGCAAAATTTTATCTTGAATAATGATTTCTGTGTCTTTCCTAAAGTTAAGCTGCTAATGCATTTAGCTACCAGAAATTCAATTCGTCTTCCTGTTAGTCATGCCACATGTATCCTGCAATTTAAAATAAGGAAATAAGACCAGAACAAATGCATTATTTGGAAGAATTGTGGCTAATCTTTTATCAGCATACCAGTCAAAGGTTAAGAAAAAGCCATACCACTGTTATTTTTAAATAATTCCTGCATATTATACAGAACCCTTGTATGTTAAAATGCTACCTAATCTGCCAGGGTTAAATGCTATAACAACCACAGCCACAATAGAAAAAGAAAGCTGCTTTATCATCATTTAAAAGACAAGATAAGCAGGATTAATTTTGCAAACTGAAGTTGGTTCTTTTTTTCCTCTCTTTTTTTTGGACATATCTGCTTTTCTGTTGTCCTCTGAGACCTTCAAAAGGGCTCCAGTGTGAATGAGTAGCTTTCATTTTCTCCCTGCCTGAGCTCTGGTGGAACAAAAGCCTGTCTTTATTAATTTGTGGCCTTAAGCTTGGGGAATTGACTACTGCAGGCAGAGTTTTAATTTGAAGAAAAGTTTAATAATTGTAACCTTTCTGTGACATGTGTAGCAATCTGTTCCTCCCTGCGCCTGGCACAGGGATGGCTATATTTTTTTGTCATCAGAATCCTGAGTGGTGGATACATTTTTCGGAGTAGCCAGATGAAATGGTCTGTATTTATATAGCGCTTTACTTTAATGGCAGCTGTTTGGGTTAAATGCTGTACTTGTTATTGGAAACTGAGACAAAGAAATGATAGTGGAAGTAGCAATTTCAGGCATTATAGCAGACAAACTGCTTCAGAAAATAGCTAGTTCTTTGACAAAAAAGTTTAATGTGCAAACTGTGTACATAAAATATTAGCAGGAGAAATCAACTCGAGTCCCAAACAGCCTTTTGCAAGAAATATCCGATTGCAGAGCTTCAGCTTATGTTATGTACACCTGTAATAGCAGGTTAAAGCTAACTGAAAACGAGCAAGGCCAACCTTTACAAACTACAAAGAGTGATCTGGTGATCTCAACAAGCTGCTGCAACTAAAATTTTCAGATGTGTTTTCCACCTGTGCTTGTTTCCTGAGCACTGCATAAATTACAAATCTCCCGAGGCCCACCTTCAATTTACTAACTGTTGGGATAAGTAGCTGCAGATTTTCAGTCAGCGACTAAAAAAGCATAGTAGGTAATCCACACCAACCACATAGACATCTCTTTGATCTGTACACTAAAGCAAACACTCGATCACATTCAGTCATTACGAGGGGTTAAAGTGGGATTTGGGAGGCGGGGGGGGGAAACCCTAAGATTGTGTGTAGTGGTGCAGCGTGGGAGAAAGAATCACTTAGAAATCATTCACATTGTAATTTGTGCTGTGAGCTCTAGTAGATTTGTGTTGTGCACAGACAGGCTGACCTGTACTGCTGCTCTGAGCTTTCCTGCTCTTTCTGGATTCAGCCAAATTAATTCAGCGAGCTATAAGTTGAATAATAAGCTGGTACGTGAATTGTTATTAACTAATTAAACAAATCTAGCATGAGCTAGAAAATTATGCAAATGTAAATGTCCAGTTCATGAAATAAACTAGCTAATCGTTAAAAAACACTCATCTTGCTCTCTTGTGTTCCCTGCCTCTGAGAGTGAAATTATTACATATTAACTTTTTTCTTACAAGCTGATATGACTTGAACTGTTTGAGATTTAGCATCTAGTTCGATGCTGAAGCACAGTAGCCACAACTTTATTGACATCTGCACCATGAAGGCACGGCAGGGCTAAGAAGAAAATAAGATTTCCTGAAAGTGGGTGAGTCACCACTGAATGGCTTTAGTTTATTAATGAGCAACTCATAAGTTAGTGACTGAGCAGCAGACGAAAAATTAACTTACTCTGCTGTACTATGTTTACAATCTGTCTGTCAGATTCAATTACGGATTAACTGAAGGTGCAGGAACGGCATTCCCTTTTTAACCCCCGATCATTAGACTGAGCTCAGCCAGGGCACATTTCAGTCTGTGTGTTCTCCAGAAAAGACATGTTATTGTTTTTATACGGTTTTTGACCTCTGTTCAACTGTTTGCATGAAGTTAAAATTTGGTTATCACATAATTTTCTTACATTGAATGAGAATAAGACCGAAATCATAGTCTTTGGTAGTCACACT